ATGTGGGTTCGGTTATTAATAATGGATTTTCAATAGCTCTATCGATTCCTAGTCTATAGAATATATAATCAAATATAGACTCTTGAGAAGGTGGATGAACTAAAATATTGGAATCAAAAGGTGATTTGATTATCAACTTGTTATCTGATTCCTTAAGTGAATTACCAACTATTGCTGGTGATTTTGCTGTTAATTTACCAACAAGTGATCTGAAAATCAATCTTGGATTACTATCTATAGAGAAACCAGCTCTACATTGATAGGAACCGTTATCAATGATAATTGGTACTTTAGAACTACAGTATTGTGCATCTTTATATCCTGTAAATATTTCGTCATCTACTGGTGATTGTACCTCTTTATATTGATAGATTGACATATGTGTTTATATATTAATTCAATATAACCTCTGACAAATAAAAAGGTATGAATTTCTAACTAAACTGACACAAGATGTGAACAACACAAAATTAAAAAGAAAAAAAAAAAATTCATTTCATTTTTAAAATTCGTGGTATTCAATATATATATATAGTTGTTGTTGTTGTTGTTGAATAACCAGTAGTTTTCTTATTACCATCATGAATATATTAGTAACTGGTGTAACCGGTTATATAGGATCCAATTTAGTTAAACCAATTCTAAAGGACGAATTCAAGTTACTAAACAATAGGAAATGTAAAGTCTTTGCATTGGTAAGAGGTCAATCTAGAGACAACAAAATTCTAAGAGATCTGGAGGACCAGTTCCCCAGAGACCAATTTCAAGTGATTTCAGGTGATTTTATTGATCTCCTCAATGTAGATCAGACAGTTATAATCAACAAACTACGAGAAACTCTAAAAGAACACAAAATCACTACTATTGTTCATTTAGCTGCAAAAATGGATTTTTATCCAACTGATAAAGAGGCAGTTTTGAAGACTAATGTTGTAGGTGTAAAGAATCTTTTGAAAGCTTCTTTAAGCTCATCAGATAAGCGACCACTTATTGAAAGATTTATATACGCATCTACAACAGAGACTATGGGAAGTAAAGAATCAGTAGCACCTCATACCCCAGTATCAGAGTTAGACGATGATCAGTCTGTACCTGACTACCTATATGGTGAAACTAAACGTTCAGCTGAGGTTATTGTCAGAAAATTCGAGAAAAAGTATCAACTTGACACTATCATTCTTCGATTCACAGGAGTCTATGGAAGAAATGATGATTTTTCAATATTTGAATTGATTCAAGCTGTCAGTTATGGTATTTTGTGTGTTGTACCATCGTTTGCGAATGGTCATGTGATGTTTACTCACATTGATGATGTAGTTCAATCGGTGATTTTGGCAATGGTTAAAGAGAAGAATGATAGGGATCAGACACAAGTTCTGCCTTATACCTATATAATAGCACCTAATAAGGGGATGACTTATAGTGAGTGTTTGGTGTTCCTTAATGATAAGCTAGGTCGTCAAAAATTTTATTTACCATTTTTGAGTTTACAGGCTTGTTGTAAACTATTTTCAGTTGTTGGATCATTGGTCTACCAGTTTAAAGAAAAACCTTTTATATTCAAATCTTATACTCTGTCTCAGATGACCAGAGATCGTGTGTATTCAAACAAGAGAGCAAAACAGGAACTACAGTTTCAACCAAAATATAATTTCAAACAAGGACTAAATCTAACAGTGGATGATTATATTATCACTGAACGTGTACCACTATTTAAAATATCCCCAGTTTTTATTTTCATTCTAATATTTGTATTAGTTTTAAGATTTCTAATAAAGAGTCTTTAAAAATATGGAATCAACAAAATGTACATTTATATATTAATATATTATAAAATATAAATAAAACCTACTATTTGTAAATATTTTTATTAAACATGTAGTGATTCTCTTTTTACAGCTGTGTTTGTTTGGAAATTTAGGTTTTAAATTGTTAGTAAAATCTATAGATTTGAGTATATGGATGTTTGTCAAGTACTTACAAAAAGAAGTTTTATTCTCCTTGTTAACTTTTTGTTGATTTTGAATAGTTTCTCTCCATTTGTTTTCAATTTGTTCAGAGTTGTCATCATCAGATTGTAAGGATAGAATATCAGGTGACACAGAAGATGTTAGGAAAGTTAGAGTTGTATCATCTTTAAAAATGATATTATCAACATCAATAACTTCTTTTACTTGAATTTTCTTTCCAGAAGGTTTAGTTCTCAGTAAGATATCATTACAGAGAATATATCTTCTCTGACTGTTACCACTAGTGGTATTTCCTTGTACCTTAATAGTTTTCTCAGAGAATTCATTATCCAGTATAATTCTTCTATGTGGTAATAAGAAATCACCATACTTCTCTTTGAAACCGTCTAATCTCAACTGAATATCGTACATTGAATTCAATAATTCAGCTTCTCTTCTGTTTTCGTTCATCTCAGTAGCTAAATCCTTCATTTTTGAAAGAGCCTTGTTCAAATTGGCATAATCTTGTGACTCTTTATCTGTATTCTTTATAATCTCTGTTAGTAAGAGTATATATCTTGGAATTCTCTGAACTGGCATAATCAAAAGTGAATTTAAATCCAAACTATCGCAAGCAGGGTTAGTTCCATATTGAAGGAACAATTGATCAATTGTTGAACTCTTTCTAACATTTTCCAATGTTTTCAAACTCTTTGTATAATTATTAATATAAACTGAATAAGTTTTCAAAAAATCAATCTACCATTATTATAAAATCATGAAAATTAATTAATATAATTGCTTATAAATATAGTTATAATAAAACACATACAATTGATATAAAAATGTCACCAAATACAATTGAACTAGCTTGTTGCTTCATTCTTTCTTCTAATCTTGTTAGGAAATGTGAATTATAATTATAAATTGTAACAATTTCTCCAAAAATAGTTTGTATTTGATCAGATGTCAAAGGTGGGTGGGATGTATCTAATGCAGCCTTTAATGGTGCTAAATAGACTTCAACAATAACTTTTAACTTTCCAACATAAACTCTCTCAGTTTGTAAAATTTCATCAGCAATATTCTTTCTCTTTTCTGTTAATTAGTTAGTTAGTTGTTAGATGCTATGCTGAGTGATAAATTAATATTAAAAAAGAGTACATACGACTATCTGAAGTTGTTATATTCTTTACAGCATCTATCATGCCTCTAAATGTTGGGAATCCTTTTTTCTTTATAGTTTTATTACTATCAGGAGAGGAAGATGATGCAGCTGGTGATGTTGGTGCACTTTTTGATGGTCTAAGTATTGGTTGGCTGATTGGTGTACTTGGTAAACTGTTAACAGCATTTTCTGTTGATGTTACATTTGCTTTTGAAATTGGGGTAGATGGTGTAGATCTTGATGGTACAGGTGGTGGTGTAGGTTTATTTGGAGATGGTATTGGTGGTAGTACTTTTACTGGTGATTGAGGTGGTGTTGATATTACATTTGAGACTGAACTAGTTAATTTTGCTCCTATTTTTCCTTTATTTATAACTTGATCTGGTGTTGTTGTTTTCTTTGTCTCTGTGAATGTTGAGCTATTACCACTAGTTGATTTCGATTTAACAGATACAACAGCTACTAGGGATATTAACAATATCAATCCTAAAGTAATGGTGCCAGTGTAATATGTAATCAAACATGATACAATAGTAGATCCAACCAAAACTGATTGTTCTTTACAAAATAACTGAATGTTTTCTTTATGTTTATCCATATCTAACACAATTTTTTTAATCTATTTATAAAATTAAGTAATAAAAAAAAAAAAATATTATTAATAAGTTTAGTCATTTTATTTGAAAAAATTGGGAATGGGCCATTGAATGATAATCTGAAAACTTAAATAAATTAGGCCTTTTACAAAAAATTAATTAATTTGTTTAAGTTTTCAGATTATCAGTCAATTTATTGACTCTATCATTCAACATCTTTAATTTGTTTGTGATGATGGTAATGGTTGTGATTTAGCTCTAGATCTGAATTCTTGACAATGGTTGCATTTTGTGCAGCCTCCTCTATAGGACCATGGATGAAGTTGTTTGCCACTTGGATTGAGTTTCTCCTTGACAGTTTCTTTCCAGCTTTTTTTTGGTTTATTCTTTGATGTACTCTCTCTCACCTATGATATTCTGTAAGAACAGAACCAATTGAACAAATGAATGTATCCTATGAGCCTGATCAATGAGGTATTTGAAATCAGCAGAATTCTGATTCTGGTTGTTTGTTGTTTCGATAATGCCCTTTTAACTAATTAGCCATCAACAGGCAACTTTTTAGAATATGTTAGAATGTTTATTTCTAAATTTGGAATCATTTCATTCAAAATTTTTATTTTTTAAAAAATATTTTAATTAAAATTAAAAATTATTACCTAAAATGGAATTGTTTGTAACTATTATGTTAGAGTGAGAAGTAAGCTTGACAAACTAGATAACCCTGTGCTTTTTATTTTTTTTTTTATTAAAAAATATTGAAATGACAAAATTTTATGATTACACATATAAATATGTGAATAACAACAATACAAAGCCAAATAACATTAGTAATAATAGAATTTATCAACCCACCATTGACGAAACAGTAACAAAGATATATAATATATCCCAACCAACAATAGAATTATCTCCAGTACTATCATCACAACCTAATTTACCCACCATAATAACACCTCTAACAACAGAAGATAGATACTTATATAATATACCACCTACACAAACACCATTACCCAATAATTTATTAAATCCGTACCCAACAATACCTTCACTATCATCATCTGAATATTCATTTGGTCACATTTCATCACAACCAATACCTCAACAGTATCAACATAACCGATCAACCCAAACTACCGTAGTCAGTGCCATTTAAATGCCATGCAAAAAGTCAGTGAACCAAAAAAAAGTTTCGCCCAAACTGGGGCTCGAGCTTTGTAAAGTGGAAGTGAGTCGCGGAAATGTCTTTAAAGTGTTGTGATTTCCAGCTAATAATGGTACGACTAAGCCCAGATAGCTCAGTCGGTAGAGCGCAAGGCTTTTAACCTTGTGGTCCTGGGTTCGAGCTCAAATATACAGATCATATAATAATAATAATAATAATAATGAAATTCAAAATCATTCTCAACCAATATATCAACCATCATCTCAACAAACTCAATCACAGCCTCTATACCAATTACCACCAATAACTACAATCACTACAACTTCATCATTACAGCCACAACACCAATTACCATCAACTACTACAACTTCTAACGCATCATCAGGATATCAACAATCACAATCCCATCAACACTTGCAACCATCATCATCAGATCCTCACAACCAATATCATCAGTCAACACCACCACAGAATAATAATAATAATAGATATTTACTAACTGCAAATCAACGAGAAGAAAAGATTTCTCTTTTAAATGAAGAACAAAAAGAGGAAATAGATTTATTAATAAACTATCTTGGAAAATCTAATAGAAATAATAATTGTAATAATATTTTTAGAGTAAAAGTCATTGCAGAGGAATTGTTGGAATATACAAGAAACTCATTAAATTTAGAACAAAAGAGAAACCCTATAAATAGTAGATCAACTGAGGAGTTAATAGATAAATATCCAGATTTATTTAACAAGAAAAATAAAATCATGATGGAAATAGCAATAGAAAAAAGTATCAGCACAGATATAAATAATATAACAAAATACGGTGAATTTATAAATATATACACAAACGAAATAAATAGAAAAAAATATAGGTGTTCAGTGTGTAGAAAAACTTATACTAGATTAACAAATTTAAAAAATCACATTGGAACACAACACATTGATATATTAAAAAGAGATGTAAATAATACATTTATAAGATTAAAAGAGAATATTGAAAGAGGTTTACCAATTGAACCAATCATTAGAAGAAATAAGAAAAAGAGAAGAATTGATCAATTTGAAAATAATAATAATAATAATAATAATAATAATAATAATAATAATAATGAAAATGATGGTGATGATGATGATGATGATGACGATGATGATGACAATGAAGAAGTAGATGTATTAATGGATGTTGATAATAGGGTTTGTAAAAGACATAATATTGAATGTGATGAAAATAGTGATGATAATACAGATAATATTAATGATCCTGACTATCAAAGTGAATCTGATGAAGATCAACAATTAGAAGAAGAATTTGAAGAGAGTGAAGAGAGTTCTGATGAAGAGAGTGAATCTGAAACCTCAAATATTTGTCCACATTTAGGTTGTAATAAAGTAACCTCAAAAACCTATTGCTTACATAAATACAAAATTCATCATGAATATTTTGATGAGGATGAATTAGAATATATAGTAAGTCATTGTAAAGGTTGTATCATGATAAAAAAGAATATATTAATGAAAGTAGCTCGTGCAGAACATACTCTCCAATCAAACAATTGTAAATATAAATATAATAGCTGTTTATAAATTTATTTATTAATACATGATTTAGATTTTAATTCATATGATGCTGCTGCATTTAAGGTTTCCAATAGTTTATCATTCGAAAATGTAGAAAAAGCTATGGTTAAAATGAACTTTAATACAACAACTGTTTCTACCTATAGAATTAAAAAAGTTATAAAGAAAATAATAGATGATCATTTAACTGTCAAGCCTTTACAAGATAGACGAATGATTGGTTGTATGTTGGATTTTGATCAACATGTCAGAAGTTTATTTCAGCTAAAATATCCACGTCATGTATGTATAAATGTGCATACAAAAATACAATGTTTATATTTTAACTGTACTTGATGATCTTAATTTAGTTAAATGGTATTAATAGACCAAAATTTGAATACCATAATGAATTGGGTTTAAAAAGTGATCGATGGTTAATAGTGTTACCAGTTCACTTTGATGGTGCTGTAATGTCCAAAAACCATGCTAATGACCAGGAAGTTGGTTGCTTATCTATATTTGATAATAACAAATCCCTATCTGAGGTTAAATCCAAAAGAGATTCCAATCCATTTTTAATATTTCGAGGAGAGGAAAACTATGATAATCTAAAAAGAGGATTACATGATTTTATTCAGGTATGTATTTTAATCTAATCTATTGCTATATATACTTTTATTTTTATCATTCTTTTTTATTGTTGTCTTTGCTATTGTTGTGTGAAACATACATACTCTAAATTTTATTTGTTTGTTTGTTGCCAAGTTAGAGTGTGTTCAACAAAAAATAATGAAAATGAAAAAATATTCCTTGTGATTTTGATTTAATATTTAAAATGTTATAAATATACACACTATTACTTATAATATATATTTTATGATACAACGAGGATGTCCATACTAATAAAAATACAGATTGTAAATGATAGGATTTCAAAATTTCATCCAATCTATATCAATGATAAATGTTATTTAGTATACATATTATTATCTTTAGATGGAGCATGTAGAGGATACATGTTAGGACAGGTGAAATTGTTTTTCTCCCAGTCATTTTTTAGATGTGCAAGATGTACAATAACTTTCCACTCCTTAAATATTGTAGATCCAAATATCAAATTCCATCATAGAACTCTAGAGGAGACAATGTTCTATTGTAAAAATGTTAGTAAGTCACTGGATGCCAAATGGAGATTAGGCCATAAATATGAACCAATTCTAAATATTGGTTTTGATCATTATTACTCAGAGATACTACACATGACCATGGGTGTAGTTAAATATAATTTTAAATTTATACTCTTTGATTGTCTGAACTGCTCCAAACCTAATGAATGTTCAAATGATATGCAAGCTGCATTAAAAAAGTATTGTAAATTATCTTTAGATTATTTTAGTTCAACTGATAGAAATGGTAAAACTCTTAGTATATTGGATAAATTTGTGAAAGGTGCTGTAAATTATGGCGAATATATGTATATAATATTTGAATTCAATAAGTTCTCAAAAATATTAGCTAAATATAATGTGTATAGTGCTAGTAAATTGAAAAATGTAATGTTAATAATGTAATCTTTGATTTTTAAAATAGATACTAATAATAATAATATTTATGAATAGGTTAAAAAAGGGTTTAAACAATTATGGTATTTATTAGCTCTATGTTGTTATGATCATAGATATGCATTTCGAATTAAAGAATATCAATGGAGATATCTTGCTGGTAAATGGGGTAAGTTGGTTATGGAAACTTTTGGTATTCCAATTGATGGATGGAAAAGATCCAGACATTATCACCAAGTAGGTAATTTCTTTGTTAAGGGTGAAGATCAACATAATGAAGTAGAATCTGGTGAAGAAGATGATGATGATGATAATGACATTCAATCAATGACCAACCATCTATCAAGTTATATTCATGAATTTATCATTCATGTTGGATATGATTTAGAAAGAATTGGTAGTTTAGTTAGAGTCAGTGTATTTGGTTCTGAGACTGCGCACAAGGTAAATAGAATCAATGTTGAACGACAAACCAATCGTAGTAGAGTTTCTGAAAACAGAAACCAAAATCAATCGCCACAATCACCTACTACAACCACTTCTACTGCAGCTACTACTGCCACTGCCACTACTCCTACTCCTACTCCTATTCCTACTCGAACTATTTCTACTCGAGTTACTGCTGCTACTACTACCACAACTACTACTGCTGAGCAAGAAAAGAAAGTACCTAAAGGATCAATTTACCAACAATTAACATTGAACTTCTTATCATATTATTTTAATACGACTTCAAATAACTCTAATACCAATCTTTCAAGTTATTTGGAAGCTAACCAATCACAAATCCATGAATTATGTAATAAGTTTGATCCATTCAATCAAACCTTATTTTATCTACCAGATTTATTTCAAATAAACTCTCTTGATGACATACCAACTCCTTCAAATCAATCAAACCAACTATTTGGCATTGGATGCCCGGTAAGTGTGCTATACACAACAGCTGATGAGTATCTATTTAGTTGGTACGATGCTATAATTATTGATTTTAAAATTCAAACCTCTCTTTACTCAGTTGTTTACCATAAGTATGTATACTTTCTAAATGATATTCCATTAAATATAGCACTATTTTCATCTTGCTGTTTTAATCTAATTATCTTATATCTGTAAATCAATTCCTTATACAAATAGGCTATTTATAATTCTAAATCTATTATTATATATCTTTTATTATAATTCTATATCTATTCTCTTGTTGCTGTAATCTGTTATATTAAAAATAAGAGTTTAGTTAATATTAATATTCAATCTTTATTAAATAGGGAAAAAGGAGATATAGTAGAAACAAATATTAATGCTAATCGAATGTTCAAAACAATTGAAGGTGCTATTCCACACAGTCAACTTAATAAGAATGATCTTGTACTTTTAACACAGGATTTTGAATCAACTGATGGTGTTGATGTTGTTGGTGCTTATGTTGCTAAAGTTAAAAATAAGAATAACAAAAACAAAGATATAGAATTCGAACTTATACACAACAAAAAAGTAGTTGTGGAAAAAATAAGTGATAATCAGGGTAAGGTATTTACATTCAAAGGTGATATCTCTGCACTTCGTACCTATATCCAAGATCTTTCTGATGTCCCAAAAGTTACCTACCATATAAATCACTTACCTACCAGAGCTAGAGCTAGAAGTAAAAAAAGAAAGAGATAAATGATCAAAATATTAATAAAACAAGCAAAATCAATCAAATTGTTTAAAAAAAATTAAAAAAATAACTATTTTATTTGAAAATGAAAAAAAATGAATTATTTTAGGAAATTTTAAAAAATTTAATTTTTTTTAATTAAATTAACTATATTTGGACATACCAAATTACCAGAACGCTAGGGTGCTTGAAACACTGTTATTTTAAAGGGAATGATGATGTTATTGAATTCTGTCTAAATATTTAATAAATGCCAATGTTGATCTAAAATTGAATATATTGGAAATTAATTGAGTTATCTTTTTATTTATCTGAGTCCTCTTTATAATTCTTCATTAGTTGCTTTACTTCTACTAATTCACTTTTCAGATCTATATTAACTATATTAACCTATTAGCCAATCTTCTTGTA